TCCAAGGAGATGTTCCATTTGTCAGGTTTTGTAAATAGTTATATTTTCATCTAATTGACTTAATTACAAAGGAGAATGGAGTTGCAGGTTGAGAGAATATATAAGATGTGCCCAGGCTTGCCTTTCCAAAATGCAGCACCTCACATTTATCTAAATTAAACTCCATCTGCCACTCCTCAGCCCATTGGCCCATCTGATCAAGGTCTCATTTTAACCTTCTTCGCTGTCCATAACACCCCCAATTTTGGTGTCATCTGCAAACTTACTAACCTTACCTAAGAGATAACACAGTCTGGAACCGGAGGCACACAGCAGGCCAGGCAGCATCAGAGGAGCAGGAAAGTTGACCATTTTGGCGGGACCCTTCTTCGAAATGGGGGGAGGGAAGGGAGCTCAAAAATAAATAGAGAGAGGAGGGGTGGGGCTGGGGAAGGTAGGTGGAATGGTGATAGGTGAATGCAGGTTGGGAGTGGTAGGGATTGGTCAGTGAAGTGGGAGGAACAGATAGGTGGGAGAGAAGATGGACAGGTTGTGTCAGGTCAAGGAGGTGGGGATGAGAAGGAGCATTGGTCATGGGATAAGGCCGGGGGTGGGGAGGTCTTGAAACTGGTAAAATCCACATTTAGGCCATTGGTCTGTAGGCTCCTGTGGCGGAATATGAGGTGCTGCTCCTTCAGTTTGCAGGTGGTGTCATTGTGACACTGGAGGAGGATCAGGAGTTTGAACTGAAAACTGAATCAATGGACTAGCTTATCATCCTCTGGTGCACTTTTCCCCTCAACTGGAATCTTCAGGACAAAGGGAGAATGGTTACATGGCTGAGGTCTACGATGGTCAGTCTCACTTTGTATAAGTGTGAAGGAAATTGTAGGAAATGTGTGCAACAACTGACCATTCATGGAACCCAATATCAACGCCTATCATGACATGCCCTTTTCAAGACTCTAATACAAACTTGCTCATAATTGCCTTGCAACTAATGTCTCCATTTTTGACTTTAAAGCAGCAAGTTTATCTTTTCAATTTTTTTTGGAATAGCCCAGCTCTACTGCCTTCTGACTATGTTCCTTCCTTGAAGATAGCTCTGATCATTGTATTTATTGGATGTATTATGTTTAATTGCGCTGGTTAATACATTCCCAACAAATGTCTGTGTGTTCTGTCTTAATAATCATAAAATAAATTGTCATTAGGCCCATTAAGTCTGTGGCACCACTTGATTATGGCACGTTTCTCAATCCCATGCTTGTACCTTCTCCACATAACCCTTGATCCCCTATCTATCGATATCTTAAATACACTCAATGTCTTCGCCTCCACAGCCTTCTGGGGCACTTAATTCCAAAGATTCACCACCCTCCGCTGAAAGAATTCCTCCTCATCTCAGCTCCAAGGGGTCATCCCTTCACTCTGAAACTGTGCCCTCAGGTCCTAGTCTCTCCTACTAGTGGAAACATCTTCTCCACTCTGCTCTATCCAGGCCTGTCAGTATCCTGTAAATTTCAAAGAGATCCCCCTTCATCCTTCTACACGTCATAGATACAGACCTAGAGTCCTCAAAGATTCCTCGTTTGACATGCTCTTCATGCCTAGGATCATTCTTGTGACCCTCTTCTGGACCCTCTCCAATTCCGGCACATCCTTTCTTAGATAGGGGGCCCAAAACTGCTCACAATATTCCAAATGTGATCTGACCATACCTTATACAGCCTCACCAATATATCTCTGTTCTTATATTCTAGTATTCTTGAAATGAATGCTAACATTTCATTTGCCTTCCTAACTGCTAACTGAACCTGCATGTTAACCTGAGGAGAATCCTAAAGTGGGACTCCTAAATCTGGCTCATGCCGCCTTTCCACATTCCCGATTTCCCTCTTCAGTAAACTCCTGACAGGTAAGGCCAATGGACTCAAGGCATGGGTAGGTACGTGGCGCTGGGATATTATAGCCATTACAGAAACATATTGAGGTTGGTTGGCTCGCCGAGCTGGTTTCTTGTATTGCAGACGTTTCGTTACCATGCTGGGTAACATCCTCAGTGCAGCCTCCGATGAAGCGTCGGTATGTTTTCCTGCCTGGTTTTTAAACTCTGGAGTCCGTTGAGCTGGATTACCTCACTTCCAGTTTTCCTTCGTAGTGGAATGTGTATGGGGTCGAGTTCAATGTGTTTATTAATAGCATGCTTCGTGGAGTGCCAGGCCTCTAGGAATTCTCGTGCCTGTCTCTGCCTAGCTTATCCCAGGATTTTGGTGTTGTCCCAGTCGAAATGGTGGTTCTCCTTGTCCATGTGGATTGAGATGAGTGAGTATTGGTCGTGTCTTTTTGTAGCCAGTTGGTGTTCATGTACCCTTGTTGTTAGTTTCCTTTCTGTTTGTCCGATGTAGTGTTTCTCACAGTCTCTGCAGGGGATCTTGTAGATGACATTGGTCCTGTCCATGGCGGGGCGTGGGTCTTTAGTTCGGGTGAGCAGTTGTCGTAGGGTTGACGTGGGCTTGTGTGCCACTCTGATGTCCAGTGGTCGTATGAGTCTTGTGGTGAATTCCAATGTGTTCCTGATGTAGGGTAGTGTGATAGGTGTGTTGGGGCCTGTAGTATCTCCCTGATGTTGTTTGTGTAGGCATCTTCTGACCCAGTTTTTTGGATATCTATTATCCCTGAAAACCTGGAAGAGGTATTCTTCTTCCTCTTGGCGTAGTTCTGTATTGCTGCAGTGTGTTGTTGCCCTTTAAACAGTGTTTGCACGCAGCTTCATTTGTGTGTGCTGGAATGGTTACTGTAGAAGTTCAGTACCTGGTCTGTGTGTGTGGCTTTTCTGTGTACTTTCCTTTGCAGTTCCCCATTTGTCTTGCGCTCTACCATGACGTCCAGGAATGGGAGCTGTTTGTTCTTCTCTTCCTCTCTGGTGAATTTTATTGGAAACGCTACGTGGATGACACCTTTGCCATCATTAAACGGACAAAATTAGAGGAAACACACAAACCCACGCTACAAATCTACTCCAAAACCTTACAGAAACATGGCTAAGGGAGGGACAGGACTGGCAGCTTAATGTGCCAGGGTACATGTGCTTTAGGCAGGACAGAAGTGGAAGTAAGAAGAGATGGGGAGTTGCATTTTTGATTAAGGGCAGTATCACAGCAGTAGCCAGAGATGAAATAACAGGGATCATCCAGTGAGACTTTGTGTGTGGAGCTAAGAAATAAGAAGGAGATGGTGACATTAGTGGGGTTGTACAATAGGACCCAAATGTCAACAGGGATTAGAGGAACAAATATGCAAGGAGATTGTGGACACTTGCAGGAGAAATAGAGTTGTCATAGTGGGGGAATTAATTTATGTTTTGATGTTTTGATTTTACTTTCATTTCACAGTATGGATAAAAATCTTTAGCATGTGATCTGAAGTCCAGCCCTCAGGGAATGCTTGATCTGAACCACCATGCCTGTATTAACTTATTGTTACACTATTCCAAATCAAATTCCACATCCTTGCTCTATTCACATAGTCCTGTATCTTCCTTAACCTCCCTAAAAATAATGCTTATTGCCTCAACGTCTCCCTATTATTTCAGTTTCACCCAGAGAAGCACAAGATCCCAGGCACTTACAGCTAACCCAGGTGGACCTGGAGAACCCATATCACCCTATTAAAAACACAGATAATTTCATTAATAATCAGTTGATGAACAGTTAACTCACTTACATCTTAATAAGTGTAGCTAGGAAACGAACAAGTTCAAAGTTGAAAGAAAGGCTATGTATACTCTGAAATGAGTTACAGTCAGCGCAGGACCTGTGCTATTAGTTACAGGATACAAGGAATGATCTGCTTAGGGAGTAATGTTGTGGCACCGCAATGGGCTGGGCTTGCTCACATCTAGCATTACTAGTAGCACAGGTCTGCCCCTAAAAGCAGATTTTTAGAAAATGTATAATCTACTAAACCTTGATGTTCAGAGAAACCTGACTGTACTTGTAGAAGGAACACTGAAAGCTAACATGCAGGCACAGAAAGCAACTGGGAAGGCAAATAGCATGTGGAGTACATGATCAGAAAATTCTTACTATATGTATACAGTGCAAACACTTTCCTAAACCTTGAACTCTCTCACAACCTACAAAAGTAGCTTTCACCCCAACACAATCATTTTCAGTGTAAAGTGACTGAACAAACAACAGAATTTAACGCTTTCTGTGCAAGATTTTAGAATCCTCCTGTTCCTTATTTTCTCTCAAACTTTTCAAAATACCAATGTCTCTATGAGTGTACAGTCACCAAACTTGGACACTTTGTCCAAGTATTCTCCCACTATTACATTGTAGGGGGTGGGTCATGTTACTCCCACGTACTTATATTCTATGCATCTGCTCACACATCTCACTCCATTTGACTTGGCAAGTGCTTTTCACATTGCAGAGATGTTTTCAATGAAGTGTCTGGCATCATCCACAGGTATTTGTCAGGGTCTGTCTTTTGAAAGACTATATCCTTCATATTTGCTACCATTTTAGAACTAGAATATTTCTTAACAGGCTTCTGTTTATAATTCTGTATTCAGTAACAGGTTGAAGAATGGATTTCTGATGGGATTCAAAAGTTGTGTCAACTGTTAACCAATTTCCTTTTCCAGGGAATGACTGGGACTGTCACTTTAGGTGGTCCACATTTTCTGATTAATTTTGTCTCCTTTTAACTATTTTCTGAATGTCAAGTGAACATTATCAACAGTTCCATTCACCATTTGGGGGTCATGTTAACTCTGTGGGACTATGTGAAAACAATAAATTGACCATCAGTTTTACATGTCTGTGGGAATGATATCAGGCAAGTTGCTGATCCACGATTAACACAAATCAGATGACGAACAGTACATTTACAATAGATTTCTAACACATTCAACTCTATAACTGATCTCACTTTGCAAGTGGAACATTGGGTTCACAAGTGAGAAATTGCTAATCAAAATTGCTCTTTATACTATTCCAAATAACACTTACTTTTTCTCCTCTTGGACCAGGTAGACCAGGATCACCAGGGTCTCCCTTTAAGCCCTGTTTAAAATGGAGAATGAATGAGTTAACCATATAGTTTATTGAAATAGAAATCTGTTCTTTATGTAATATGATTTCCCACTGTTGAAAATAAAGCAAAGTTATATACCATGTTGGAACAAATTGAGAATTACTAAAGCAAAACCAAATTGACACAGCTCTGCTAAAAATTCTGTTAATTATTGTAATATGGTCACCCCTTTTTTAATGATGTACCAAGGACCAGAGGACATTGCCCTCTCAAGAGTAGGATGAGTGGGATGAAGTTGGAGGTATTTGCTCGTTGGAGCTTTAAAAAAACTGCAGGGAAGCGAGGAGAGGCATGAACGAACCCCATTGTCCTGAGGTTTTGGGAAAAGGTCACAATAGGTAGGAAATAGGGTCATGAGTCTTGATCAGAGGCTGCAAGGAAGTTAGTCAAAACTGAATAGAAACTAATAGGAAAGAAAAACTCTTTGCATGGGGCGTTTAGAGTCTTGTGATCTGTGTGATATGTTAAACCCCCTATGAATGGTAACATGAATCCTTTTCTTGCTGCACTCCTTCACCAGCCCAAGTTACCTATAGACAGTGGTGATTAGTTTCCAGGTTATTCTTTAAGAACTTTCAAGTTGTAGCAATGAAGACTTGTCAGACCGTTTTTTTCCACTTGTGCTGTTGATGCCTTCAAAAGGGTTTCCAATTCATAATCCTTGATAAGTTCAGTTTTCAGAGAAAACAGAGAGAAGGCAAAAGCTGTTGTTCTTCAGGCATATAATTTCAAAATCTCTGTGTCCAAATCCAACATCATTTCCAGATATCCAGTGAGTGAAAAGAACTTGATTGTTTTACTCATATCTCCTCTCACGGAAAAAATCATGATCAAGGGGCAGAATTTTAGAAAAAAATCTGTTTAATAAAATTAGAATGCACTTTGTCACAAAGAGGGCCATGGAAATCTAAATTCTCTCCTAAACAAAGGTTGTCATGTTGAGACAACTGAAAATTTCAAACTTTGAAACTTAGAATTTTTTTAGCCAGGTCTTTGGGTTATGAGGTGTGGATCAGATCAGTCAGTCCTTAAATGAGTGGCAGAACAAGGACAAAGGACTGAATCCCCTCCTCCTGGGATCATGTTGTGGCCCATCTTCCTTTTACGAATAAGCTTTGAAGGGCTTGTTATCCCTATGCAACTGGGTCCCTATTCACAACCTGACTGGCTATGGATTTTTGGTTAGTGAAGATTATGAAGGGAAAGGGCTATCCTCACATCCACAAATGAGATTAAATGAAATAAAAATCTTAAGCAGGAGCAGGATTAGGCCATTTAGCACATCAACTTAGCTCTGCCATTCAACATAATCATGGCTGATTTTCTTTCTCAAAGGCAAACTCCCATACTGTCCCATACACTTGGCACTCTGAGCTTCTAGAAATCAATTAAATACATCTTAAATAAATTTAGTAACTTAGCCTTCTGTGGCAGAGAATTCCACAGCTTCACCACCTTCTAATGAAGACATTTCTTCCCATCTCACTCTGAAATGGCCTATCCAGTATCCTGACACTGTAACTTGTTCCCTTGTTCTAGGCCATCATTCCTGCCCCTAGTCTGTCCAGCCCTATCAGAATTTCGTACGCTTCAATGAGGTCCCCTCCCAATCTCTGAACTCCACCTAGGACAGGCCCAGACAACACAATCTCTCCTCATTCAACAAACCTGCCATTTCAGGATCAGTCTGTTAAAGCTTCTGTCCTTCTGTAGAAAGGTTATCCTTTCTTAGGTGAGCAGACCAAAAATGCATACATCACTCTAGATGTGGTCTCACCAAAGCCATGTACTATTGGATTAAGACTTCCTTGGTTTTGTACTTGAATTTTCTTTGCAAGCCAACATACCATTTGCCTTCCTCCCTGCCAGCTGCACCTGCATGCTTGCTGTCAATGACTGGGTAAAGGACCTCCAGGTCCATTTGTATATCAAAATTTCCCCAATCTACTATCAAGCAAATCACAGAATCCCTACAGTACGGGAAGAAGCCATTTGTCCCATTGTGTCTGCATTGGCCCATTGTGTCTGCAAAAACTTTCTGAAGAGCATCCCACCCAGACCAGCCCCAGCCCTTATCCTATCCCTGTAACCACACACTTGCAATGGCTAATCCACCTTGCTTGCATGTCCCTGGACACGATGGGGCAATTTAGCAAGACCAATCCACCTAACATTCACATCTTTGGACTATGCGAGAAAACTGAAGCATGCAATGGAAACCCACAGTCATACTGGAAGGATGTGCAAACTCCACATAGACAGTCATCCAAGGCTGAAATTGAACCTGGGTCCCTGGCACTCTGAGGCAGCAGCGCTAACCCCACTGAACAATCACGCCGCCCCTAAACAACATTAATTGTTGCTTGGAAGTCACACGTAGATCAGACCAGGTAAAGACAGCAGATTTCCTTCACTAAAAAACATCAATGAACAAGGAGGCTTTTTAATGACATTTGATCATCACTTCACAGTCAGCATTACTGAGATGAGCTTCATTTCCCAGAACTATGAACTTGTTGAGTTTAAATGCTACCAGCTCAGTGATGAGATTTGAAACCACGATCCCAAAGGTCTGGGCCTTTGGACTAGGGGTCCAATAACAATATCACTGTGCTAATGTCTCCTCTAAATAATCCTCTGCCATTCTGTTTTTCCCATTGAAGTGGAAACATCACAGTCATCCACGTTGTACTGCATTTGCTATGTACTTACCCACTCATTCAATTTGTCTCAATTGCATTGAAGTCTCTTTAAGTCCTCCTCACCATTCACATTCCCATCTAAGACAACAAGGTGCAGGGCTGGATGAACACAGCAGGCCAAGCAGCATCATAGGAGCAGAGAGGCTGATGTTTCGGGCCTAGACCCTTCATCAGAAAAGGGGGAGGGGAAGGGGGTTCTGAAATAAATAGGGCGAGAGTGGGAGGCGGATAGAAGATGGATAGAGGAGAGGATAGGTGGAGAGGAAACAAACAGGTCGAAGAGGCGGGGATGGGGCCAGTAAAGGTGAGTGTAGGTGGGGAGTTAGGGAGGGGATAGGTCAGTCCAGGGAGGACGGACAGGTCAAGGGGGCGGGATGAGGTTAGTCGGTAGGAGATGGAGGTGCGGCTTGAGGTGGGAGGAGGGGATAGGTGGGAGGAAGAACAGGTTAGGGAGGCAGGGAAGAGCTGGACTGGGAGGGGAGATTTTGAAGCTTGTGAAATCCACGCTTACTTCTTCAATCGTGAACCTAACCCTCCCTCTACTGACCCCTTCTCCCACTTCCAACACACCCCCTCCTCCTGGACACCACCCCAAGGCCTCCTACCCTCCCTCAACCTCTTCATCTCCAACTGCCGTCAAGACATCAATCACCTCAACATCTCCACCCCTCTCACCCACTCCAACCTCTCCCCCGCAGAACGTGCAGCCCTCCGCTCCCTCCGCTCCAATCCCAACCTCACCATAAAACCCACGGACAAGGGAGGCGCAGTTGTAGTATGGCGCGCAGTTGTAGTATGGCGCACTGACCTCTACATCGCTGAGGCCAGACGCCAACTCTCTGACACCTCCTCCTACTGCCCGCTTGATCATGACCCCACCCCCGAGCACCAAACCATCATCTCCCAAACCATCCACAACCTCATCACCTCAGGTGACCTCCCACCCACGGCCTCCAACCTCATCGTTCCCCAACCTCGCACTTCTATCTCCTTCCCAAAATCCACAAACCTGAATGCCCTGGTCGACCCATTGTCTCCGCCTGCTCCTGCCCCACCGAACTGATCTCCAACTATCTAGACTCCATTTTCTCCCCCTTGGTCCAGGAACTCCCTACCTATGTCCGTGACACCATCCACGCCCTCCACCTCCTCCAGAACTTCCAATTTCCCGGTCCCCAACACCTCATCTTTACCATGGACGTCCAGTCCCTCTACACCTGCATTCCCCATGCAGATGGCCTTAAGGCCCTCCGCTTCTTCCTGTCCGCAGGCCCGACCAGTCCCCCTCCACTGACACCCTCATCCGCTTAGCCGAACTCGTCCTCACCCTCAACAACTTCTCTTTCAATTCCTCCCACTTCCTACAGACAAAGGGGGTAGCCATGGGTACCCGCATGGGCCCAAGCTACGCCTGCCTCTTCGTAGGTTACGTGGAACAATCCCTCTTCCGTACCTACACCGGCCCTAAATCCCACCTCTTCCTCCGTTACATTGATGACTGTATCGGCGCCGCCTCATGCTCCCACGAGGAGCTCGAACAGTTCATCCACTTCACTAACACCTTCCACCCCAACCTTAAGTTCACCTGGACCATCTCTAACACCTCTCTCCCCTTCCTGGACCTCTCTGTCTCCATATCGGGCAACCACCTAGAAACC